TTTTTTTTCGAAATAATATTTCCATTAAATAGTTAAAATATTTATCCTAAAATATTTTTTAAATAAATATATTATATATTATTTCCAATATTTCAGAAATAATCAAAGTTATGATAATAAAATACCGCGGTGCCATATTTATATCGATATTTTTCGCGCAATGCGCAGTCCTCTCGTCCTTTCTCGTCACTTTGCACGTATTGGATCGCTCTCGTTGTGGCGCGGTGCTCATAATGATATCGCTTGTGCAACCCTCTCGTCACTTTCCGCGAGCTGTTTCGCTCTATATAATATTGGCGCGGTGCACATCTCGATATTGCCCGCGCAAATCGTCACCTTGTGCGCCTTGGATCGCTTTCTTTATTTCGCGATGCTCATTTTAGGTAAGTATATATGTCTCTCATGAATTTTGTAGGAGGTCCTCCTATTCTACGACATCTCGCAAGATCCTCACAGTGCGCTCTTAGAGGTATCTTAGAGCTCCTTGTATGACGATCCCAAGGCAAGATCTTGCAGAGGTCCTTGTGCGAACATCTTGTGCAGATCTTGGGCCTGGTGAAACCCTCCAAGAGAACCCTTGCATGAAGATCTTCAAGATATCGTGTTGGCATTTGTGCTACGCTCTTAGGATGCTCTTGTAAAGCTTTCAATGCATGACTGGCATGACCAGCATGACTGCTAACTGCTACCTGTTAGGAGCTATGTTCCATTCTTATTCATAGTCCACTGATTAGGTGCGTAAGTACAAAGGGATTAAATCCAACAGCGAAAGTATATGACTAAGTATACCTGACAAATATTCCATTGATTCAATTCAAAGATTCAAAGCTACAGTACAGGTGCAGCTTCCGTGCTTGTTCATTTACTCTCCCTTTTCTCAAACTAATTGTCCGACATGAATCCCACGATTCGGCCCGCTGAAATAGCTCGGGATCGAATTTGGCTCCATGTGTTCCAAAAGCTTGGCACCTAAGTTCTGCTTTGTACCCTTTGCTCTTTCGGTGTGCTGCACCACACTTGGTATTGGTCTAAGTATCCAGTAAGGCTATACGGCTGTACATGGGCTAGCGGTGGAATATGTGGAATTGGAGCGACAGATTTGCGTCAGTGAATGAACAGAGAATACGACAGATGTTCAAACATGGCCCAGCACGCCAGAGTAAGCCCCAAACAGCAAAGGCATCAGCCCTGGAAAATCCTTGTGCGCCAAGCCAGGCGCTAACTTCTTATCTTCTGGAGAAAAATGCCATCCCATTCATGGTGTTCGAAAGAACCAAATAGATCCAAATAGTATGCCTTGCTGTCGTGCTTGCGAAACTTGCAAACCATTTCATGTCGTCGCTTGCCCCTGCCCTAGAAAAAGCTGGACGAAGTCTCTGGCCAACTCTGGCCCTTGATTTGCAGCCGGAGCACCGGTCTCGCTGGCGTCTACGATTTCCACCTTGCGCTGAGTCACCAGGTGCAGCAGCTGCTTCAAGATTGGCCACAACAGCCTCGCAAAGGCCCAAGCCTGAGCAGAAATGAATAGAAATGACATCTGTGGCGTGGTCCAAAAGTGGGCCTTAATGCCTTCAGCTTTAAGTGCCTTAACAACCTTAACATGCCGCAATCGAAGCACGATTTTATTGCAATTGTTAGGCGAGTTCTTCAGCGTGGGGCCGGGCGTACGCCTTCTTTCGTATCTGTTCTTGATTTTTGTGCGCTGTAAAGGCTTTGGGCCGTGGGTGTACATGACACTGAAAACCATGCATCTTCAGCATTAATGTACTTGTTGGCTGCTGCCCTATTGTTTTTTGTTTGTGGCTTCCATTTGCTCAGGTTTCTCAAACAAAGTATCCTACTGCATGACTGTTCCATTCCTACCGTGCAAGCATGTTCGTTGCATGGCCTTGCTATGGCTATGCGCCAGAAAAGCACACGCAGGAAACAATGCTCAGAGTGAAAGTCAATATGTACTACATTGTTGTTTTGTCACCGTGTTCCAAGTGTTACTAAAGCCCTTGGCACCTTGCCCCATCCCTCAAAATTACACGGATTTGTGATCACCTTAAAACCGCTCCAACCTGGCGTCTAAACACCTGTTTTCATGTCCAGAGACCTCCACCTTACTCGGTCTGGTGTGGATGATGGTCGGGCAAAGCAATGGCCAATCAAACAAGACCGAGAAGCTGCATTCACCACAAGCACTCTGTCAAGCGTCTCCGGGTAAAGCACCACAGTCTGCTTCACCGCCACTGCCAAGAAATCTTTAGCAAAACCAATGTGTCCCAAGCCCACGCCCCATAGATCGATGATCCTTGTAGCAATGTCGTCAAAAACTTAACGCTCAGACCAGCAAAACAATGTCCACCATATTTAGTTCAGAAGGGGATCGGATCAGAATCCAACAACTCAGATTCAAATTTCACTTAGAACTTCATGAATGCGCAATTCATCCTCAAGAACAACACAGAATGCGGAGGTCTACTATTGTTTTCTCTGTCTCCATTGTTGTCTAATATTGTATTGTTGTACCATCTTTACACTAGGCATGGGCGACTATCCGGGATCACAACATAACTTTGCTTCACACAGTAAGAAGAATGGGCATCAAACAACTGCCGCCAAATGCAAAAGCTTCCGATCTGCTTCATCGTCCAAAAGCCGAATGTTTGCAGCAACTAGTTCCTTTCTCTACTTGCACTGACGTGGTTGGACCAAGACCAAGGATGAATAATATCCATCTCAAAGAGTTCTTGAAAAAAAGCAGTGCGAAAATGTGCGAACCATGCTTCCAGGGCACAAAGTAACTCGATCCGTTAAATGGCCAATTTGCTTGCTCTCGCGTGGAACTGTTCTCCGAAAAAGGCACTCCTCGCACCGGAGGAAACACAACACAGCAGCATTGACCTTAGTTGGACAGATTTGATGTCTTCGCCAATGCGGGGACATACAAAAATCAACCTCGATGCTCGAACTATACGAGCATCAAGGATCTCTGTGAAAGGAAGTGCAACAATCAAAAGCTCTGACACAGCTATATGCTCAAACTTGGAATGCTGACCTTCTTGCAAGATTTCCACTCCCAATTCAATCATAACTGTATGCGACCATATAAGTGGCTTGCATCAGAGTTGCTCCTTCAACTGCATGTTCCCACCCGGTTGACAAGAGTTTGTTGAAGGAAGCAGCATCAACACCACTTCGGATCAGCATGATGGGCCTTGAATGGACAGGTGGCTCTGACATGGGGCGGCTTTAGGCGCCCTCGGACAACCCCAGCTTAGTTGCTATCTTAACGCAGCAAGAAAATCATAAACGAATCATGGTTCAGAACACTACTTAGTACTGAGAGAGTCTTCCCTTGCGCAGCCTCTCAACAGCGTCAACATACGAATTCTAAATGATTTACATGTGTCTCAAGCTGTAGCTGATTCAGCGGCCAGCCATGGCCAGCTCATCCAAAGTTACGTGCGGCCCAGAAATTGTGAAAGGTAATGGGACATGATGGAACTATACGACTGTGACGAGGTGCAAAGGGTCTAATGTGGTCAAATCACTTCATCCAAGGGACTGTCCTCTCCGACCCAAGCCATGGTACGTCTGAGGGACAATGTCCATGAAGGATGCCCAGTACCTCTTTGGGTCAGCCCCTTTAGGAGCACACTCTAATGCATTTCTCTGGAAGCAGAGCACTCCTCCGAAAAGCTTGGAGACTCCAATATGGAATTAAGCCCCAACCTCGGAGTGATAGCTCAACGGCTCAACGAACTCCAGCCAGTTCCCACAACCAAGCAACATCACGCGCTTTTCCCAGCACATTTCCAAAAGTTTCACAGCCTCTCAGGCGAACTATAACAAAGCCATCCAGTTCAGGCAAGCTCCAAACAAAATGTCGATGTGCCCTTCCAAACTATTTTGGAGGAAACTCAATGGCTACCATGTCGACCATGTCCAGCCACACCATCGAACCAGCCGATCCTCCTCTGCACAGGCAGCCCCTTGGAGACCATCTTGCTTTGCTTGCCAACAGAAGCGCCTTAAGCTCTGGGATCTGCCATGGACACAAGGGTGCCGGTCACAAGCATTCCAGCAATCATACTGCAAATTGATGCCGCTAATTTTGCTATGTGTGAGATTGGTGCGGGGTTTCCAATCACAGCTGCAGCACCCGAAGTCCACAGCTAAGCAAATGTGCAAGCGCCGGTTTTCCTATGGCGCACAGCGTAGCCGGTACCGGCGGTATCGGCATAAAGAATTCCCACCCTGTGGGACATTGGGCAGCTTGGGCCATCTGGCCATGATAATACCTTCGTTGAATCTGGACCTGGCAGGTGCACAAGTGTAAACTAACACAGGCACAGGTGGAAAAATGCCAGCCATGCATAGCTATTGGCCATGCAGTTGCACCCTGCTCAGTAATCCAGTTCTCAAGCTCTCTCAGCAAAGACAATCCACGGCCATCCAGCGCATAGGGAGTGATGTCGCCAGTCGAACAGGACGGACAAGGACGAAAACGTCTCACTCCATTGGCTTCATTCAGACAGCCAGAAGGGAGGTCTGGCATTGTGGCTGTGCATGCCACACATCATTGCTGGCGACCCATATCACGTCACTCAGCGGGCACACATCAACATTTTCGAAGGACTCGATCAGCGCCCTTCGCATGACATCCACTCCAGCATCACGCTGTCTGTCAGCGTTTTCCAGGAAGCCCCGGTTGCGGGCAAAGTTTCTATATTCTCGGGCTAAGCGCTCCTGCTCATAGTTCATCCTGGCAAAAAGAATCGGCATGGCACGAGTCTGTGCGATCTCTCCCTGGACAGAACTCCAGGCGGCCCGATATTTATCGTCAAAGGCCTTCTTGAGCTTGAGTTTGACATAGGTGAGACAGCAATCAGCAAACCATCACGAAGAAAACCATGAAAAACAAAACGTCAGGCTGATTTTGAAGCGGCACCAGGCAAAATGCCTTTTGTGAAACCGAGTAGCGCATCTTTTCAAAGATCGCTCCCTCATACACATACATCAGCGTCCTTGGGCTGGGGCAGGACCGCATTGAAATACTCAATCACCTCGTCGGTGTGCACCATGTAGGCACCAGAGGCGGCAGCAGGGCTTTCAGCGTTCTGCTCACTTATTTCTTCCATCTCAGTTTCATCTCCAAGTTCATTCTCATCCATCACATCCTCATTGATGACTCGAAGTCGTTGAGGTGGTGGCGCAGCATGTTGGTCCATGTTGGCTTGACGTTCTTGGGCAGGCTTCTGCTTGGCAGCCACATATTATATTGGGGATTCCAGTGGAATCCAATCCATGTCGAAGTCTGTTGGCGAGCAGCTGGCGGCTGCTGGGCTTTGTGAGGCCATCCGCCCATTTGCGTCATCGTAGCTCTCCACCGAGATCTTGCAGCAACTCTTTGATTACACGGATCTCCAGGGCAGCGCGTCGATCTGTAACTTTGGCAGTCACAGTCTCTCGGTGAAAGCTATCATACAACGCTTTGGCGTCGGTGATCATGACCGGTTTCAGGGAAGTCGGCCTTTTCAGCAGTTCAGCCAGTTGAAGGTTGGGACATAGGAGGTGGTCCCAAAACTTGCAAACAGCATCAGTGGTATCCGTTACCTGGGCTGCGGCCTGTGTTTCAGCGGCCAGCGGCCAGTGAGCTTCGGGCAACTTGAGGCAACTTCATCGATCGCCACTCCAACATATGAAAGTTGTCTTCCTGGTTTTCAAGGTGTGCTCCGGCACCAGGAGGGCTTGCGATGACCCATCAGGTCTTGTAGAAAACGAAGCATCAAACAGCGTGACAAGTCGAAGCTGTTCCACAGGGCCAAGGTTCTTGTAGACAAAGCCAACATCACCATTTTGTTTTGCAAACTTCAAAGTTCGGTTGAGATCTTGGACCCTGCTGACCTTGGCATGGCTCACCTGTCCAGCAGCTAAGGACACAGAAGCCTGGGGGTGCGGTGAGGATTGCACACTCGGCCATTGCAGTGCTCCACAAAGTCCACGGAGCGCGGCGATCTCCTTTGAGGTCAGCTCCACATCAGGTCCATGAGACCGAGGAATGGTCATCGGGTGAATCTTTTCCACATACTGTTGGAAAAGCTTCAGCCCATCTCCATCAAGCAGTGTCTCGATGGAGCAGCCGCAATACTGCAGGGCGTCACCATCCTTCCATTCACGAAAGTTGAAGACGGACTGCAACTCTCTGATAATGCTTTGCCAGGTGGGCGACGTTGAGCTTCCCCACCCAAAAGGTCGTCAACATGCAAACACACCATGCCGCATAATCGGCTGTCACCCAGGGTACCAGTTGAAGAAGCACCATCGTTGAAATCGGCCTCGAAAGCCAAAAAGCAGCAAGGATCAAGGTAGCGAGGTCTGAGACCAAGATCCTTCAATCTTCTCGCTGCCTCTTGGTACCATCTTCTCGGTGCGTCCAACTGTCCATACACCGGTTTCAACAGCAGCATCCGGCAGGCGTCTGGAGCTCCCAACAACCTCAGGCACTCAGCTGGCAATTTCACCCACAGTTTTCGCTCCTGTGGTGTTGCCACATCAGCTGTTCAAGCAGACCAGCCCAGCAGTGCAGTCAGGCTCAAAAACTTTCTGGAGGTCCTGGACGTAGTGGGACTGCTGGTTTGTAGTCCATTGTCCAGGGCACCATCAGAATGCCCACTTGTCAAGACACGGGCTGTCAATGTCCGCTCTGGCTGAGCGTTGTCCACCGTGAACGACTGCAGCTCTTTGCTTTTCGCCTCCTTGAAACTTTGCTCGATTATCAGGAGAGAGCAGCCTTTCGTTGATGGAACTGTTCATCACCTTCTTGTGCTGTTTAGCCATCTTGATCCTTGTATCCTTGCCCAAGCGCTTGGAAGGCAAGCTGGCAAACATACCCATTTCACGGCGAGCTTTGCCAGAGATCTGAAAGATGGTGCAGCGGGTCCACTCAAAGTCCAGGAAACGCTGCTCAGCACCAAGGTCATTGATGACCCGAAGTTTTCCATCAGCAGCTTTCGCAACAGTAGCGCGGTTTGCATCCAAAAGATCCGCTGGGATCGGCACATCAGTGATCTCCTTGATCTTGAAGAGGCTGCGGCGAGGCCGTACATGGTGTCGGATGACACAGCCAGCTTTGACTTCCCAATAGCCCACGGGGTCATTGGTCAGGCTAAAGTAGCCATCATCACCAACCTTCCAGCCATCAGGGATCTGAGTGAGATCCAGGTCAAGGACGTCAAAGGACTGAATGTAGTTTTCACGGACACCTCGATCCTTTTGGTCATCCTTGCCATAGGACCAAAGATTGAGGCCTCCGCCCGATCCATCTGGACGCGTCGATGTCGAAACTCCTCCGCAGGGCCAGCAAGCTCGTAGAGGTTCAAGTTGGTAGATGTTGGTGCGCGTGGCACTGAAGAAGGTCCAGGTGGTAGCACTGAAAAGGGTCCAGGTGCAGCAGGTTCAGCTGCCATTGACGGTGCTCTTGTATGCACCGCTGGTGTATCAGGATGTGGTGGTTCACGTCCAGGTTCAGAGTCCACAATGATCGGAGGATCATCGTCATCTTGGATTTCAAGGACGGCAGGAGGACCACCAGCATCATCAGGTGCAATTGATGATGAATAACTCACACTGCATTCCTCAGCTGGCTGCAAATCCAAGTCCAAGCCTGTGGGCTCAGCAGTGGGCTCCATAGGAGGAACTGGCATAAAATCCCTGCCAGGGTGATCGTCAGTGCGCCGACGCGTCGGAGATGGCTCTTGAAGATCTCCCCCATCATCACCATCATATGGAGCATCATCTTGCATGCCCTCTTCGTCATCATCCACATCATCGATGTTCCGGCGGTTCAGCCTTCTAAGGTCAAGGAACCGGGTGACTCCTCTGGATTTGAGTCCAGCAATGTCATGTCGAGCAGCTTGGAGTCCATCGATTGCGACCTGCAAGTCCATGAAATCAGGCCGAGCATGATGTGGTGCTGCTCGGATGAGCTGAGCGCGGTGTGCCAGTGTGCAACCCAATAGAGTCGTGGACGACCCTGCTCATCATGTTCCGCCATAACCACTTGGGCAGGTCCATACCGTCGAATCTTCTTGAGGTCTGAAGCACGACCATCTCTCCAGTAGAAGCAGCTTTGGCCCAAAGTCAAAGGCCCTTGCTGGCGCTGATACTTCCGAAGAAGAGCACGCCTGAGCTTTCTGTCCACCTCGGATCGGCCATATAGATCTCCACAGTCTTTCAGAGAACAGCACGGCGGCTTTCCACCAAAGCCAAACGAGTGTGGGCTTCTCCAGGTGCGATCAAGTGCTCGACCATGTGGGCACTGACCCATTCTTGGAAGTCATCGGAAGCCCAACCACGACCTTCATCGGTCAGCAAGGCCTTGGGGCATCCAAAGTGTCGCACCCAATGTCGCTCCAGCACAGAGAGGAGGTGCTCTGAGCGTTCACCATGAAGAACACCAGCAGCTTGATAGCGAGTGGCCTGATCAAGCAGGCTCAACATGGGGAACTTGCGGCCGTTGACCTTCACACATCACATCAGCTTTCAAAACGCGGTTGAACTGTTTGACATCGTTCAACACAGCTGGTGGCACACTGTCAGGCTTCTTGTACCGTTCCAACTGAAGTTGCGAGCCACTTCCAAAACAACATCGCTCGCCCCACGGCTTTCCAGGGTCTTCAGCAAGGCATCTGTGGACGGATGTCCCAAGTTTCGATGCAAACGTTGAACACATCGAACAGCCTCGAACAGCCTCTTGGCGGTTGTCGGTGAGCAACTGGATGATGCGGCCAACATGTTTCTTCTCATCATCAGCGGCTCCAACCAAGTCAGAGATTGTTGGCAGCTCATCCACCATTTGGCAGGCAGCCAATGTGGAAGCCAAAGTGGGCTGGTAGTCCTCGAGGTAGCGAGCCCGACGACCCACAGCAGGACCACTTCCTTCAAGCCGGCAGTGTTGATGATCACCAGCACATCGCTTTTGGAACTCCTTGTGTCTGCAGGCCCATTGGCTTTTGAACCAACCTCATCCAACTTCCATTCCAAATCAGTGTCTTGGCCAGTACAGCCACAACGACACTGGTCAAATCTGCGGTGAAATCCAGGAAAGTTTCCCAAGGCATTGGTTCGCCACGATCGAGCGTAGGCAGGCTGTTCAAGGTGGGCGTGACCACCTTGCTTGACCTGTTTGAGGCACACCCTTTTGCAGAAACACAATGAACCTGATGATGCCATTCTCCAAGTTCACGAAGCCCCTGCTGTCGTTCAGGTGTCTGTGCAGCCAGACCTTGCATCATAGACCAGGGTCCACAGGTTGGTGAAAGATAGATTTCATCGGGGACCTCCTTCTCCTGCAGAGCCAAAAACGCTCGTTGATGGGTCGGTTGGTCAAAATCCCAGCCTGTCTCAAGGGAAAACACCCTCACAGTGGCACCAAGGGTATCGGCGATCTGCGCCATACGGCTTTGACCACCATAAACTTCCCAGATCACCCGACCACGATCACCAGCATGCAGCTCCGAGGTGATGTAGCCATGCATGTTATTGAGCTCCTCAGGCGGGCATCCATGGTTTGAAAAAGATGCCGTTGCCACTTGGCTGTGCCAGGTAAAATCCATTCATCACCATTATTGTCAGACAAAAGGTCATGAGCTCGGAAGATCATCTCATCGTTGAACTCCATGAAGGCGCGAGGATTCAAATCCACCTCGCCAGGTGAAGCCAGTTGCAAATCAAAGTGGGCCTCGGGAGCTGCATGGTAGATCTCAAAGTCCATGGAGAGAGGCAGCAAGTATTCACCATGCAGTCCCATCAGCGCAGGCATCCACTGACCATCACGATACCTGATTTTCTCCGAGGAAAAGCCCGGAGCAATGCCACGTCGTTGCATGATTGGGCGGCCACACAACATGGGCGTCTCACCTCTCACCAGGCACCATGAAAACCCGGGCAAATCCATAGAGGCCATTCACAAACATTGGCAATCTGGCGACCCACTTGGCTACGCTTTCAGCATCACCACCAAACTGAAACTTCCGATCACACCGGTAGAACAAAATGGATTCCACAGGGTAGCCAAGTTGTTGCAGGTGCTTGAGACTTGAGATACCTGCTTATGGGGCCATATCCACAAAGAAAAGCTGAGGGGTCAAGCATCGCCACGTCGGTGCGCTCATGCCCATGTTTGTCCATGAAGGTCACCAGGGCTCCCTCGGCATCTTTGGCCATCGATTCAGTGGCAGGAGCAAGCCTCTTGTTGGGGCTGTTCTTCTGGTTGTTCACGGGACAATTGGCAGCAAAATGCCCCTTCTGGCCACATCGACGGCATTGCAGGGCAGCTTGGGCTCGTTGTTGTGGTTGTGCAGGCTTCATTGGCGGCTTGTCGTACTTGTACATGCTGGCTTTGCCACCCTTTGGTTTGCCTTGCCCTTCTTGCCCTTAGGCGATCCACCACAAGAACTCCTTGAAGGCGAGGAAGTGCCAGGCTGCAAGTTGGAGTCCTGAAGGGCAACTATGGGCAAATATCCACGGCTCAAATCAATTTCAGGTCGTTGAACCTTTTCCGGGCATCTAAGTAAGCCGCATAAGTTTCATCCCATGATCCCATATCGAAGGTCGAAGCGGTGCTCTGGAATGGATGACTCAGCCTCCCGGTCACCAGTCTGATGGTAGGCGGCATTATCATCGAAGCCTTGCTCCTCGAAGCTGGCGCTGTCATCCCATTCCCAGTAGGCATCGTAGTTGGACTGCTGATCCCAGTCCCATTCACCATCATATCCATCTTCATCCAACTCATCACCAAAGTAGGCTCATGACCTGCAAGGGGCAGCTCCATGCTTGTAGTCCTGACCCATGATCAGGCACAAAGCTTGCACAACTTTCGTCAGCTCAAGTTGCGGCGCCCTCAAGGTGACAAGTTGCCGTTGTTCTTTGGTGAGGCCACATTTTCTGAGCAGGTGCTATCCTTGAACTGCCGTCGAAAAGCTGACACCATGCTTTTCCAACTTCTTGTGCAGCTCCGCATGGTCGCTGACATAGGACAGCAACATCTGGGCCAAAGTAGCCATCGAAGTCGCTGGGCAGCTGCACTCAGGTATCATGTTCGAAGTGTCCATCCAAGAGCTTTATCATGGAGTCGACGGCAGAGGTCTTCTCGCAGTCATCAAGGCTGAAGTCTTCCACAAGTCCCCATGCTGAACCTTGAAGACTGCCGATTTCACCATTCCTTTTCGTCAACCCCATCTTTCTGTAGTAGATGCGGGTCCGTTCCCGCCACTCCTTGTAGTCAGCCGGTTCGAACTGTCTCAGGCGGCAGCATCAGCTGAGGCATCCTGCCTAGCAGTTCCCGAAGCCATACTCCACAACGTCCAAGGTGAACTCCAAAAAGGGTGAGCTGGTCTATGCCCTTAGGGTTGGTCAAAACGTAGAGCTCGGCCAGGGGTTCTTCCCGAAGCACTCTTCAGCCAGGACCCGGTAGAGCAGGCAAGAACCCAGGCTCCAAGGATCAGGCAGCGCTCCGCCACCAATGTGAGATTGGTGCGGGGGTGCCAACCACAGCTGCAGCACCTGAAGCCCACAGCTAAGCAAAGGTGCAAGCGCCGGTTTTGCTATGGCGCATAGCGTAGCCGGTATCGGCATAAAGAATTCCCACCCTGTGTGGGACATTGGGCAGTTTGGGAAATTTGGCCATGAAAATACCTTAGTTGAATCTGGACCTGGGAGGTGCACAAGGTTGCATGGAGTGCAAACTAACACTATACCTTCTTCAATAATACGCGGCAAAAGCAAAAAGGTGCTCAAATCTCTGAGGCATTGCTACCTGAAAGATTTAATCTCTGAGGCATTGCCTGACATTAGCACTTCCGTTATCAACAATACGTTAGGCTCTTCCTTTGGGTTACGGTGTCAGGTAGCTCTAGGCATCAACCTTGTCCCTGTCAATCCCACCAATGTCTGGTCCATACATGTACAAGCTTGCCTCTATTGTTCCAGCTCTTTTTTAGACGGAAAGAAATTCCGCTCTAGCTGGAAACCAGATTGGGGGTGCTTTGACACCCGGATGTGAGCTGCTGTCGCGAATTGCATGTTTTTGCTAGTTTTGTCTGAGTGCCTGTCAGGCTTTAAATAGCAGTGGGGAAAAGAAGGTGCTCAAATCTTGGAGAGCCAAAATTAAGCACAGAACTGAACGCCAGTGGCACTCTCAATTGAGCCAAGCACCGCAGAGTTGCTTTGACATCTGCATTTATTGCAACGAACTCCTGGCCAAAGCGAAAGTTGGACAAACTTGCAGGAGGAGCAGCTTGCAGTTGTTGCCTTTGAACTTGCAGAAAAAACGTGGAATGTTGACATTTGTATGATAACTTTGCACTGGACCCTCTTGAGTGTTTGGAAAGAGTGTTTGGAAACCTCCCGCTCTCGCCTGCAATTGCTCCTGAAGCTGAGGTTTTCCAGCAACCAACTTCTCTGTAACTGACAGCTCCTCCTGCGCCGGAAGCACGCTATCCATGCTGAAATTGGGCCCAGGCCCCGCAGAGGCCCAGCAGTCCTCAGAGGGTAAGTAGTGCGGAAAATACTCGTTGACCAGCGGATCTGTCGCGAGCATGGGGGCCTGCCGTTGCTGGCGAATCCTCTCCATCAAACACTGACGGGGGCAAATGCTAGCTATTTTAATAGCATGTGCATTTCTATTCTATCTACATATATATTAATACACACCTATCCATATGTGTAGAGATATGTAATATCACAGTGTGTGTGAGTGTGTGGGCGCGTGCCTCCCTCTCTCTCATTCTCTCTCTCTCTCTCTTCTCTCTCTCTCTCTCTCTCTCATTCTCTCTCTCTCTCTCTATCTGTGGACTTTTGCAAGTGGCAGGGAGCGGTTCAGCCCCAATAGCACGCAGCATTCAGCGCATGCTGCACAGCCGTGGTACCCTGCCTGAATGCACCGCTTTCATGCAACGTCCTTTTAGACGGATAGCAATATGAATATATATATATATACTTCCTTATATACTTCTACTTTCTTCTCATCTTCTACTCATTCTATAATTCTATTGTACTTGTCCCTCGATCTACTCATGAGCACTGATGCTGGCCAGGAGTGTTTCGGATGTGATGCGAAAATCCGCGAGCATCGTTACATAATGGGTCCAACTTTCTGTTGGGCAAGAAGTCACTCAAGTTTCTGCCCATGTAAAACCTCATTCCGCAGCATCAGCAGCCCCCTTTTTCTCGGCAAGTTTGCAACAATAATGTGGAATCAGGTGAGGGCGCACCTGCAAGCGACAGCAATGCCAGTTGTAGAAAAAATATGTAAAAATATGTAAAAATAATTAAAAATAATTATGTAATATGATATATTTATATGATATGTAAAACATATGTAAAAATATGTAAAAATAACATCAGGAAACTCCCCCTCAATAAGTTGGTAAGCTATGGATGCTATGGAAAGCTCACCATATGACTATTCATATACGGATCATCTAGCGGTACTTGGTATGCAGGTCCATCCAATATTTTGAAAAGCGTTTACCCACCTCGACCAGCAGACTCCTTCTCCTGGAAATGTTCACGATCAATGCGGACAAAAAGATGTGATTGACTCGACGGATCTCGACAGATTGCCGATGCGATAATCAGCCTGTCTGTAAACACGAAAACGAGTCAAGTACCGGAGCACGTACTGTGTGCATGCTAGGCTTCTGCGTACAGTTGCTCATTCTGATACAAGAAAACAAGAAAACACATGGACATACATTGGGTGTTGTTCAAGACTCTTTCATCTCCAAACTTCCATTCTTTGCAAAAAAAAAAATGGCCAGACTCTGAACTGACAAGAAACAAAATGGGAAAATGAATGAAAATGCTGATAAACCGCGCATGTAGGCCTACTATGGTTCGATATCTCCGTACATGCAACCATGGTCGACGTTGCTGCACCATGCATCCAAATATTCATTCAAGTAATTATCCTCGTTGGACTATAATGATGGGGAAACAAACAGCCCGGGCATACAAAACGTAGACCATCCGTTATCTTATCTTCTGATTGATGTTTGCTTGGCTTCATCAATTGACTCAGCCCCACAGCCTTGGAAACCATCTGCCCACATTGCATGGCAACACGACCACAGCTCCGGGGCGGATTTCCGTCATGCTTCACTTGCGCCAGGGATCGTCACATCTGTCGCCGAGCCTTGGGATTGGCTCGGCACATCTCAGCACACTTTGAGAGATTGCTGAAAGATGGTTTCAATTTCTTCCACCCGATTTATCAATGTTTATCATGAGTTTCTCGCAAACTCACCTGCCATTAGATCCACTAGTCAATGGGAATGGCTCAAACACTTGTCTTCATAGCGAACAGCGCAAAAATGGAGAAAAGAGTGTGCATTCTGAGATGTTCACCTACTTTATATATATATATATTATAATTATATCTATATATATATATCCTAATTTCACTCAATTTCAGCTATCTGTAGCGATTTGTTGTGGTCTTTGGAATTGACCTACTCAATGGACCTTGGGCTCGTGTTGCTGATGCCGAGTCCTGCAAAATCGCCGATGGAGAATCTTGGGGACACACTGGATGATGAGGAACTGCGCGCTTTTCGTTTTTTAACTTTCGCAGCCTCCCAAGGCGTGGTTGATGGATGCCAGATGGACTGACCAAGCAAAGCACCCATCACGGCTCCGCCACAATAGCTTGCATGCAAAAGATCTCTGAAGCATGCTTTTTTACATTTTCTTTACGATGCGAGTCCATGCCTTCTTGGCTTTCCTCTTCTCCTCGCTCTTCTTTTTCTCCGTTTTTCTTGACTTTGACAGAGCATCTCTTGTAGCTGCTTTTGACTTGGCTTCCTTCTTGTTCTTTTTTGCCTTTGTTGATCTGGCCTGCCAACAATTGCACACAAAGGATTGGGAAAAGGTGATGGATGGTAGCGTGTCACCATTACTTCCAGTTTGAAGCTCATCCTGCCCGAGTTGTCATGGATTTTCGCGCGGCTTCTGTCAAGGGCATGCCTTTGGCCCACAAAATCGCGCAGGGCCAGCTACACAAGAGATGTTCATCGTAGGGCTCTCCCTAATTACTGATCCTACAGCACTTCCATAGTGACAGCTCCACTAGAATCACTAGAAACAAAGCCAGTTCTTGCGCCTACAATGAAAGCGGTGAAACCTCTGGCCAGCGCACAAAATTTAAATTAACTTCATCGAAAACAAGCCAAGGCTCCAAATCTCACACCACAGCTATGCCAGCTATGCCATCCCAGGTTGGTCCCATCCCTTCGTATTAAAAAGCGCTAAGATCCGCATCCGCTAAGCAATGGTTGGCGAGAAAATGATGTTCGCTTTCTCGGCCTCATGATGTGGAGCTCGAGCCCTATAACGTGTCACACACATGCCTATCGGCCTATCAATACCTTTGGCAATGTCATGGCAATGTGAATCTACTATTGCAAAAGTATGGATCTGTTTGATCACTGTGTCACAGTGAGGCATAAACAATGGACTCAGTTTCCAACATCCGCCACGAGGTCCACACTCTTCCAGCAGCATAGGTAACACTTGATACAATCCACCAAGGCCAAGTGATGATCCTGTGAGCGCAGTCATGTCGGTTACTACACCTGACCTAATGTCATTGTCATCGATGGCCCTCCCCGCAACAAACAACGCTAAGATGCCCACAGTGTTTGCAGCACTGGTGCTGCAAAGAACATGAACAAAACCTGAGACATTGTAAAGTCCATCGCTACTGGCTTGTCAGTTGTTGTTTTGCTTCCGTCTGGTTCGAAAGGCTACTGCAAAATACTGCATGTTTGTTGCAGTTTTGCAAAGCAGGCACAATGTATTTGGACTACGGTCAAGCAAGCCTCAATGTCTAGCTAGCAGTAATGTGCTGAAACATGGCGAAACTTTTTGTTACTCATTTTGTTTGAGAAGACCGTCGGCTGTCGGCTCAACTAGCTTGTCTAGTCTAGTGAGTCTGGTGTTAGCACTGCGATCACTGTGTGTGTGTTCATGTTGCTGCTGCACGCTGTTGCAATATCTCTCTGAAGCTCCTCATGCTTCGTATTGCTTCGTGTGGTGCATCTGGGTGTCCGGCTATCGGCACCAACATGGTGACCCACAAACAGATTCCACGCCTTGGCAGCTGCTGTGCCAGCGGAGCTTGGATCACAGTTTCCAAACGCCAACTCAGTGCGTTTTATGTCAGTTTTTACGTGTGCCGTCGATCAGAGGCACTAGAGTGCGGCAATGATATTTCACAATCTACACAGTATGATATATATATATGTATAATTATATATAATATATGATTATATATCGGGTATATGTATGCATATGTCTGTATATAGTATATAGTATTTGTATGATGTAGCCAGCACTTGTGCTATGCCGCAAAGTCTTTCGGGATGATTGTCGGAATTTTCATTTTTGGTGACAGTACTTTGTGGCGTTCTAGCGTTTGGCGATCTAATAACTAGATGGCTCTGGGTTTGCAAACACAGAGACGTCGTTGATGACCCTCTGCGGTGAATCTGCTGGCCCCCAAAGCTGTTTTTCCGTCACTTTTTACATAACATCAAAAACCTAGAAAAAACCTTAGAAAAACTCTAAATTAACCCTAAGAAACCCTACATAAACCCTGAAAACAACCCTGTGAGAATGTATATCGTGGAATACCTGTGGGGGCGTAGCGCACGTGCTGCAGGTATATATATATATATATTATATATATGTGTGTGTGTATGTATGTGTATATATATACAGTAAAATCCAAACTCATCACAACAAAAAGCTGGTGGTGACAAGCGGCAAAGGTCCTACATTCACCGCTTGAATCTTGTCCAGGATGTGCCTCAAATCTCCCAACTGAGCGCAAGAATTCCATGACATTGATGGGATGGAATCTGAATTCGAAGCGAAAGCGAAGCAACGGCTGAAAAACAACTGGGATGCTGACCATCGAACTTGAGGTGATATGAGAAATGCATCAAGGAAGTTCAAATTCAGCAAATAGCTTCCCATGAGATACTTGGCTGGCCATCTGAGGTGCCAAAGCACTGCGCGCCCAGTAGACGCCAGGGAGAGGGTTTGCACAACTATAAGCAGTAGCCCAGCCAGCCGGGCTGGCAGCTGCCACACCATGTCCAGCTGCACATCACCTTCGATGGCACTTTGAGCCGCTGGCACTTCTTCAGACAAAACGCAGGTCGCTACGAAGATCATGGCAGCTGCCAACGGCGTGACGTTTCGCATCAAGCGGGCACAAGCAGGAGCAAAGTGCGAAAAACCCACGAAGAGAAGAGAAGATAACAAGACCTGTCATCAAAGCGACGCGTCTAGAAGAGAGGGGAGGGGGAGAGAGGCAGAGTCAGAGCTCCTGTACGTGGATAGTGGATTCCCGTAGCTGTTATCATCTGAGCCTCTTTTCAAGCAAAGAAAAACTCTGGAATGAAACGGAGACTTCAAAGCGCTTGATTTCTGCTTGCCCTTTCCTGCTTTCAGACTTCATGCATGCTAGAACGCTTGTGGACGTGGATATCCATGATGCACCCAAAAATGATTGAATCTGGCCTTCGGTGTCATCAAACAGGATCGACAGTGGGGCCACCAGTCCGTGGGCAAGAAGTATTCCCCACCACTTTGACACCAGTCCATGCCGCAGGAGAAGCAGGAAGGAACCAACAAGAAGAAACAAAGCAAAGATATTAGCTGCAGCACAGGGCCTCCCAAATAATTGAGCTGGCCCCTTTGGCGCAAACGTCACCGTCAGCAACGCAACACGCAACCATCATATATATATATACATATATATATATATATACAGACTGTATTTATATATATATTATAATATATATATATTATATATATATATATAATTATATAATTATATATATAGAATCAACTATATGTTAGAAAAATTGGGAAATCTATACATAGACATACTGTAGTTCTACTGTGGGTGGGCAATGGGATCCGAGAATGCCCATACCCTGAACGGTTGTCAAAAATATGAGTTGCAAAAGTATTGAAATTGTATTGAAATGGGCTACTTTCTACCTACTGCTTCATTTTGTGATCCCATTCCAAGAACCCCACCCCAAACGAGGGTCGGCTGCCGGTTGCCTGATCCACTCCACAGACCCCCAACGATAGTAGCTCTCCCAAGCAGCAATGCTAGCAAGAACCATCTCTGCACGGTTTCCGCGTGGAATATGATGTCACTCCACGGTGATTGGAAAACTTGTGAAATGATCATCGGGAAAAAGCCTGCAACTAGGGGACCCCGGGCGACACCGTGAAAATCCATCTTAAAGCCTTGCAGGGCACCATTTATAGATTTTATATATATATATATATCTGCGTGTGTGTGTATTATTTTATATTTATAAGCACTTTGGTTTGCAAGTTAAGTTGGGTGGAGTTCTTGCAAAGATTACTATAGGATTGGAAAGGCAAAGCCTGCCAATGTGGAAACGAAACCTGTGTAGAAGTAAAGAAGCGCAATGGCAGCATCGCGACTTGTGAATCTCTCTTGCTGGGGTGACATCTGAGCAGCTGCAAAAGCAAAAACACCATAGGCCCAATCCTGTGTCAAAAGGCGGTACAAATACAAGGCCCATCCACTGACCTCTAGCTTGGGCATTGCCACGACGCCACCGATATGTGCGCGTCCAGAGGGATAAGTCTCTGGGTCAATGAGGACGCACCAAAACCAGTGGAATAGGATCACATTGACCATCGCCACCACCGACAGATTGTCACAGAGCCGTTGCATCTCCATCTGCTTTGAGCTCAACAAACGTTCAAAACCCAGCGAATCCAGGATCTTGATGAGTTCCTCCTCGTTGTCCGCTTCACCCGATGCCAGTTTTGCTTCCGCCTGGGCCCGCGATTGCAGCCCCAACGTTTTTGCGCGCAGCAAGCTGCGATCCACCTTGTCATTCGCTAGTCTTGGCAAGCTGTCAAGGTGAACAAAATGCACAGGAATCATGTACAACGGAAGGCGCTGCGATAAGAAGTCCGCAAGATTTTCTCGGGCACCTGTCACAAATGCTACCTGAGAAGCAACGAACACGACTGCACGGATCATCGGCACAAAACCTGGGCCCTGGAATCTTAGGAAAAGGTTTGCATGTTCAAGACAGGCATTACAACCGGATAGTTTCGAGAAAGAGTTTGTAAGAAACTATGCATAACTGAAGCGTACTAAAACTATCTGCCGGCTAAGGTGCTAGGGTTTGAGAATCTTCCATTGCTTGCACAACAGCTGCCTCCTTGCAAATCACTGACAAGGGAAGCGCAGGGAGTTCAACTGATGTACTTCTGACAAACAAATCAATCAAGCAGCAACCTCAGTCAAGCAGCAACCTTAATCAAGTGCTGATGCTGTAAAGACTTTTCGTCTAGGCGGAGCTGCGTGGTTCAATCCCAGGAATGGCTGGAGTGCATTATGCAAAGCTGCTGCATCACTCCTAAAGATGATTATATGTTTAAAATTCTTTTGGTTTCTTGTGAAGCGCAGCAAGATCATCTATTAGATATCTATGAGTGGCAAAACTAACGCAAGGCCTTTTTTTACTGTGGCAGCACAAGCTGGTTGGTTTGGACCGGTCGATATTGTCCTTTCATGTCCTTTCTGGGTGGAACTAGCGCGCTCGGGAAGCTGTTGCTTTTGTCATGGCTGTCACTGCTGCTTTGTCCACTTTTCTTTTCTTCGGGCTGTGAGGTTCCACTTTGGCTTGGGTTCCTTCTTCAAGTGCTTCTGCCGTAAAGGACGAAGGCGTCTCTGGGACGAACTCTCGGGTGAAAGTAGTTTTTTGATTTTTTTGTTTCCGGCCCGGCTCCATGTCGGGAAGAAAAGAGGCCCAGAAGATGTGATATACAGCGATCAAAACGTGAGATACAGCAAAGTGAGATAGAGCAATCAAAAAATGCCACACGAATGCCACAAAACAAAACTAAAAACACCAAACCAACGGGTGGGAAAGGTCCGTAGTGAAGATGGAATAGCTGAGCAATAAAGCAAACTCGTCTCCTTGCAAACCACTGACAAAGAAGCCTCGATTTCCGCCAGCTCCACTCTAATGCCATTCAGCTTGACCTGCACCAGGGAACGCAAGATGTATTGTGGAACATACGGAGCAATGACCTGCCCAAATCCACCGACCTGACCTGATCTGACCGTAGGTCCGTAGGTCTTACTTGCCTTCCACTTTCACCCGAAACGGGTCACGCCTGCGCATCTCTCCTCCCACAGATCTCGAGTTGATCATCGTTCCATCGACCAAAGTCACCAGTTTGAAATCTGTACTCGCCGCGAACCTTGTCAGGGCACACAGCTGGGCACAGCCACTTCCAGTATTCACCAGTGACACTTCAGAAAACCTAGCCATACCAAGACATGACCTATGCGAAAGACTGATCACGCTTTGCTGATGCAGCACCTCGTGGTATCTTTCCCTGGTGAGTTCTGGCATGTTGAAATAACCCCGAGACATGATGCCACTGAAGTAGATCTCACCCTCCTGTCCAGCTTGACCATCCGGCTGCGATAGGAGCTGGACATGAACTGCTGGCTGCGGTTGACCCACTGGAGCAACTGAGCCAGAGGGAATGTAGTTACACCTCCATGTCGTCATGCCCGTTTCTGTCAACCCATAATAGTTCTGCAAGACAAGACTTCTCTCGAGGAATGGCTTGCACAGCTCTCGTGGCAAGGCCTCCCCCACACTAGCCATGTATTCCAGAGAAGGACACTTCCCCAAGTGCTCCACAAGGAGGGACAGAACTGATGGCACTGTAGTGAGAGCCGTAATGCTGTGGGTATCGATGACCTCCATCAAATAACGAAAATGCCGTTGTGCCCCTTCGGGTGCTATGTACAATGTGCCTCCAAAACAAAGTGCGGCGAAGAGTTCGTACTCTGCTGTGCGCCACTGATATGGTGTCTTCCACAGCAAGTGCGTGCTGCTGCAGGCACGAATGTCCTGGGCAAAGCAAGACACGGAGTGCCAAAGGCACCGATGATCACATTGGACACCTTTTGGCTGCCCAGTGGATCCAGAAGTGTAGATCACCATGCATAGGTCATCTGGCGTTGGTGGCGTTGGTGGCGTTGGTGGCGTTGGTGGCGTTGGAGGCCGGGAGGTGATGCCAAAGTTGCCAGGCCCTTGCCCCAGCCCCGGTAACAGAAGGGTACAGCTGTGAAGCTCAGAGAACTCAGCTTTATCTATGATCACCATGTCCGCATCGGAGCAGAAAAGCTTTCTTCGTGCAAACGGAGCGTCCTTGGGTACAGGTGCATAAGCTCCACCCGCCTTCCAAACTGCCAAGATGGCAGCCAGGGCCAGTGCAGAGCGATCCAAAAGTAGAGCAACCAGGAAAAACGTTGGAAAAGCATCGCCACATCCATTCACTCTGTTCACTCTGTTCTCTTTCTTCGCAGCCTCAATCCTTTCTGAGATTTCATCAGCCCAGGAGATCAGCTGAGCATAGCTGAGATGCAGCACCTCCTGCAGGCTTGCCACCATGAATTACAAAGAAAAATTGCAGGGAGAACAAAAAAAAGGATGCCTGGACTGGAATTCTGCGATATTTTGTGCACAATAGACATGCCAATGCCAAGTGCATTTCAGATGCTTTTGTCGCATCATCTGCAAGCTCCACAACCGCGAGGCTTTCAGGTGATTGCTTTTCAATCTCAGACAGCACAGAACCTTGGAGCTTGCGTTGGAAAACCCATCAAGAACAATAAACATGGTCCTGGAAAGCCTGTGAATGACCTTGAATGAAGCAGCATTTCTGAATCTCTGATAAATTGTTTGCACTAGAATCCACTTAAGGGTTAGCCAAAACATGGTTTATAGTTTATATATATGGTTTCTATTGAACTTGTCAAACCAAGTGGCTATTGAATGCGCTGGGTGATGGCAACTTTGTCCAACCCATTCGGCCGGCAGGTGCGGTCTGTTGAGCCGTAGGACTTCGGAAGCAAAAATCCTGTGGATCATTGAGAGCCTACGTCAGCGCTGGAGTTTGTCACTGGAATGTGATATACTGCGCCAAAGCAATGCAAAACTTATGCACACGCATATGATTCACATAATCTATTCCTGCTCTCAAATGTTCAGTAAATCGAACTCCGCATGACCTTGCTCTGGTTTCCTGGTTTCTGGCCTTCTTTTCTCGGCCAATCCCCTTTTTGGGGTTCTTTTGATGCCTATGTTTCTTCTCCTCCGTCCTTGGAAATTGGGGGCCATCCAAACGAAACTACATCAGTCTGACTCACAGATCAAGGCGATTTGACGTCTGGTGCACCGCACAATGCCACTCAAAGTCAGCAAGGAACCATTATGGTGCATGTTAGTGTTTCTTCCTATCAGTGTGTATGCACTGGTATTATTTCACCTCTTTCTCTGTTTTTCTCACCGCCGCCAAGCAACTCAGATGAACTGGAGCTGGAACTGGGCCAGGTGTTCAAGAGCCATGTCAAAAGGTGGCATCAAAGAAACCTGACAAAGCAAAGCAGCCTGGAACTCGACCTTCGCGTTTTTCGCGGGGCCTTTGGCTCCTCGCCCAATCAAAACCCAGAAGCAAAGAACCAAATGCAAGTTTCAACAAATGTTCAGTGCCTTCTGCTTCGGTTTGGCGTGTTCCTGGATGTGCAATGTCACAATATGTCACAATTGAAACTGTCCGGAGTCTGGACTTGCCCAGATCTGTCTCACACTTGGGAAGTCTGTCCTTGGACCGGATGGCCTCCTGTTGAGCGGCAGCATACGCCTGGACACTTTAAAGGCGAAATAAAATGAAATAAAGAGTGCAGAATCCAATCCTGCAAAACCCCAAAAAGAGGTGGAAAATCGAGCCCCGAATGAAAAAAAATAATGAAGGAAAACGAGAGATCGGGAGACCTTAAACGAATTTGCAAGGCTTGTTTCAGAACAATTTCGTCCTTCGCTTCCGCTTGTGCTCGTGCCAGCTCTGCAGCCTTCGCTGCTTCTACCTGGAGGCCAGCGCTGCCGACGCAAAAACGACATCACAGTTGCGGGTGAAATCGGTGAAATCTCCAAAGTTGGTCATATTGGTTGCGTCTTGGGATGGTTCCCCATGGTTTTCCCATGCTTTCCATCCTTTTTAAGGTCTTTAAATTTTAAGGGGATTCCATTGTGGTTCATGAGTACCCGACTACCCAATTATGCCAAACAAAACAACGTAGTAGAAGGGAATCGCACGGCCCAAGGCATCTGATGATAGCACCGGACATGTTGAGCGTGTTGTTTTCTCTGCAGGTTGTTAGTTTTGGCATAAAGCAGGGCACAACAATATAAGACGAGCCTACTGCAAAAAGTTAGACATGTCGGGAAGGGAACGCTGCTATCATGGGAGCGTATTTGAGCTACGTTGCATATAAATGCATGTAATTATTTAGTAATTAGTATAATATATATATATATAAATGTTCATACATATTTAAAAATAAAAATAAATAAATAAAACAAAGGACATAACCCCAAAGTTAGGAGGTGGTGGAGGATCGAGAAGTAAAACAAAGTGGTGTGTGACAAAGTTGTATGTGAAAGATGGTGTGTGACAAAGAAAGATGGTGTGTGCGTGTGTGACAAAGCTGCGTGTGTGTGTGACAAAGCTGTGTGTGAAAGATGGTGTGTGTGTGTGTGTGAAAGTTGTGTGTGAAAGAGAGCGTGTGACAAAGTTGTGTGTGAAAGATGGTGTGTGACAAAGTGGTGTCTGAAAGATGCTGTGGCCGGTGTGGCGAAAGATGGTGTGTGACAAAGTTGTGTGGGAAAGATGGTGTGTTGAAAGATGGTGTGCGACAAAGTTATGTGTGAAAGATGGTGTGTGACAAAGTGGTGTGTGAAGGATGGTGTGGCCGGTGTGGCGAAAGATGGTGTGTGACAAAGTTGTGTGTGAAAGATGGTGTGTGACAAAGCAGTGTGTGAAAGATGGTGTGTCAAAGATGGTGTGTCAAAGATTGTGTGTGACAAAGTGGTGTGTGAAAGATGGTGTGTCAAAGATGGTGTGTGAAAGATGGTGTGACAAAGTGGTGTGTGAAATGGTCTGTGACAAAGCGGTGTGTGTGAAAGAGGGTGTGTCAAAGATGGTGTGTGAAAGATGGTCTGTGACAAAGTGGTGTGTCACAGATGGTGTGTGACAAAGCTGTGTGTGAAAGATGGTGTGTCACAGATGGTGGGTCCAAGCGCCCCGCCAGAGCCAGCCCAGTCACCTGCCACGCGAAACAAAGGTGGATGTCACCAAGTGCCATGCCTGCCACGCAAAACAAAGGTGGATGTCGCCAAGTGCCACGCCTGCCACGCAAAGTGCCGCGGCGTCACCGGCGACTAATCCGGTCCAAGCGCGCCACCAGAGCCAGCCCAGTGCCCTAAGTACCACGCGTGCCACGCAAAACGAAGGTGGATGTCGCCAAGTGCCACGCCTGCCACGCAAAACGAAGGTATACGGTATATGTCACTAAGTGCCACGCCTGCCATGTGAAAACAAGACACATGTCGCCAAGTGCCACGCCTGCCACGCAAGGTGCCGCGGCGTCACCGGCGACTAATCCGGTCCAAGCGCGCCACCAGAGCCAGTCCAGTGCCCTAAGTACCACGCCTGCCACGCAAAACGAAGGTGGATGTCGCCAAGTACCCACGCTTGCCACGCAAAACGAAGGTATATGTCACTAAGTGCCACGCCTGCCACGTGAAACCAAGACACATGTCGCCAAGTGCCACGCCTGCCACGCAAAGTGCCGCGGCGGTCCAAGCACGCCACCAGAGCCAGCCCAGTGCCCTAAGTACCACGTTGAAATATGTAAGTGTCCTGTAGGTTATCTCTGCGAAGCTAGGTTTGAGTGAGACTCTATGATATATTGTTGGGGTTCGCAGGTTTTTCTTGGTATCCAAACCGCCAGCCTAAAGAATCAAGTGCTCGTTGGTTGATGGTTGCTAACTGAGCCACTTCCTGAAAATAGGAA